ACCCACACCCACACCCACACCCACACCCACACCCACACCCACACCCTACTTGACATATCCTTAACAATATGCATTGAGAAAATAGTATTTTTAAACTTTTTTTTCGTCGAATATACGAATTCACCTGGCCAGACATCCGTCGAACTCCAACCGAGAAATTCTTTCCACCAAGCTAAACCATATACCGATTGACATGTTCGATGACCACCTCTGTGTGCACCTTTGTGTTGATAACAGTAAACGGGATGTTCAGCATCATTATTTTTCGATGAACGGCCTTTTCCGGTGTAGAGTGCTTCACACGGCTGGAATTCTTCGAGTATATTAGACAGTTCTTCCAAGGCCTTATCACACTGTTCACTAACGATGCGTTCCGACATTAATTCCGGTTGATTATAGTTTTGCACAGCAAGAAAATGAGCCATTACACGAACAGCGAAACGGCAGCAATAGTCAAACCATGCAGGTGAATGAATTGACATCATATCATATGTATATAGGAAGCAACGACGACTTATTTCGATCATTTGATCCCCATCAGGAGCAACAATTTCACTGAGAAGTGTATGTAACGAAACTGATTTGCCGCTTTGGACTATGGGTAAGACACGTTGAAGTAGATATAACCATTGGGCATGAGTCAATGATCGTTCTGAATTGCGATCACGAATTTTTAAAAACATTTCTCTGATGTCTGCCATTTGTTGATTGAAAATTTGGTGACCATCTAAGATACCATTTTTAGTTCGTTGCAACTGGTCTCGGTGCGGTAAACAAAAGCATTTAATGTCCGAAAAATAGGGTTTCAAAGCAGCTGCCTCTTGTCCATGAATATCAAAAAACTTTTTCGTGATCTCTTCGTGATTCTGCGATTGAGCTAAGGATCCTTTATTTTGTACGATAATCAGCATCGGTGGATTGACCATTTGACTAACTCCATCATTTGCTTTCAATGCAAACTCACGACAACGAGTCAAATAATCAGTCGACGCAAGATCATCATTGCCTATTAGGATGACGACATTACTAAGGATATAGGCGAGTTTAGGAAAATAATCAGTGATTGCTTGTCGACGCTGTTGAGCCTTCTCTGCTGTTCGTGACACACGTGCAAAGCGTCGTTGAGCAAAATGAAGCAAGGGAAATCCAGAACCCTTTTCACCTTCATAGTCTAAGATAAGAGTCTTTTGGTGATTCGTGAATTTATTCAAATAACAATTGATGTTGACTGTCGTGGCACCTTTTTTCTCTGCTTCATCGACACATGTTGGACCATTGACGAAATCATTGTCTTCCGACTCACTGAGTAAATGTCGCGCGACGAAACTTTTGCCACTTGATGTATTACCCAGAAGACTAATGATGAAAACTTTGTCTTCTGTTATATCAGTCGTATCGACTATCGATGAACTATCGCTACATATCGAAATTCCATCATAATCTTCATTAACACTAGAAGTTAATAATGCTGTAATTTCTTGCCATTGTGTGCGAAAACCATCACCTAAATCCAACTCCCACGAACTACCAGCATCGTTAAGTGCAACGATTTCATTCTTTTGTTCCATTTCGGCTCGAGCTGCTATGTCATCATTGATTTCGGGTTCTTTGAAATCTTCTTCCATGCAAGATGCTTTTGAGGACTTCCTCTTCCACTGATCTTCGTTCGTAATAAATGCACGACTTTATATACCTGATAAGAATGAAAGAATATACAGAGCTTGAAGAAATCCAATGAATCACAATCAGAGAATGGAAAAAACCATGTGCACAATAACAAGACAATGACGTCATCATTTATGTCAAAGACAACAAAAAGAAAGAGACGAAACGAGTGCTACGGAAGAAAGAGAAGCCAGAGAACGTACAACCGATGGAGAACATAATTCCAACGAGTGGTCTATAACGAATGATGATCTGTGTATTTTATCGATCATGCCGTTGATTCTCGTCGCTTAATTTTTTTGGTCAAGAAGATATAGTGTGAGATTGCAAGATAGAATAGTTTTGTGTGGATGTGGGTGTGGGTGTGCGTGTGATTGTGGGTGTGGGTGCGGGTGTGGGGTGTGGGTGTGGGGTGTGGGTACAGGTGTGGGTATAGGCGTAGGGTGTGGGTGTGAGTGTGGGTATAGGTGTGGGGTGTGGGTGCAGGTGTGGGGTGTGGGTATAGGTGTGGGGTGTGGATGCGGATGCGGGTGCGGGTGTGGGTGTGGGTGCGGGTGTGAGTGCGGGTGTGGGTATGTGTGTGGAGTGTGGAGTGTGGGTGTGGGTGTGTGGGTGTGGA